GCTCACTCCCATCAAGCCTTGGACTGGCAAAGCTCAGCCACATTAAGCCTCGGGCAAGGGCTTACCAAAATTGAGCCTCACCTTAGCAAGGCTCACCTACATCAAGCTTTGGTAAAAGCTCATCCAGATTAAGCCTCGCACTCAAAAGGCTCACCCACATTAAGCCTCTGGCAAGGGCATACCTAGATCGAGCCTTGCACTAATAAGGCTCACCCACATCAAGTTTTTGGCCGATTTGCTAATATCTTGAGACAACCCAAAAAAAGTTGATGACTTGGTCCATGGCCTTTGTAGAATGCCCATAATTGGTCCTCTATTCCAAGGAAGAGGATAAAGACTTATCATTTAATAAGTTATAGGTCGCATCACTAGGGCATCCTTAAACACGACTTATCCCATTCTAAAGGGCAAGCTAAGTGAAGCTCGTAAAATATATTATCCTTATTAAAGAACAAACTCACAAAGCTTGGGGAAACCTACTCCCTTACTAAAGACAACCTCAGCAAGCTCGACATAAAAGGAGCTCACAAAGCTCAAAAAAGTCTATTCCCTTATTGAAAGACGAGCTCACGAAGCTCGGTGAATCCACTCCCTTATTTAAGGGCAAGCCCACGAAGCTCAAAAAAGCTTATTCCTTTATTAAAGGGCGAGCTCATGAAGTTTGGTGAAATATACTTCCCTTATCAAAGGACGAACTGAGTGAAGCTTGTAAAATATATTTCCTTATTAAAAGGCAAACATAGTGAAGCTCGTAAAAAATATTTCCCTTACTAAAGGGTGAGCTGAGTAAATCTTGACAATTTATTCCTTATTAAAGGGTAAGCTAGGTGAAGCTATTAAAGGGGGTGAAGCTCGAAAAAGTATTTAAGGATAAGTTGTTTGAAGCTCATAAATTTAAACTTGTCCTAAAAGGTAATTTAGACAAAACATCAACTTTCTAATTAAAAGTAAGAGAAAGAGGCCAAACAAACATATTACTAAAAGTGAAAATAACAGAGCTAGTGTCACGAAGTGATTCCTAAGACGCTTGAAGGATGGAAGACACGCATGTTGGTTGACAAAGAGCAGAGTTTGACTGGGAATGGTTCCAGGGAAGGGGCGTGCAGGAGCATAGGATGGAATCTCTTCAGAGTTCAGGCAGGTCGACTCAGTTAAGTGCGAGGAGCTTGTCGCTGGTCGTGGACTTGACTATGAAGAAGAAAGTTGGCCATCCCTGCACAAACTGGTCGGGAGCTGGAGCCGTTCCCCTGACGAGGCCAAGGCAGGCCGAAACCAGTCAGCATGTATCATTGGAAGGGCAGATCGTAGTGGCTGACCAGGGCGCTTGCGCGAGCTGAAGCAACGCCTTGGTGCCTCACGGGCCGTGCCGCTGCGCTAAATCTCTAGGCCCATGACAAATAGTATCAGAGCAGGACTTGGGGTAAAGCACGGTGGGGTGCCCCCTTGTCGGTCCAGGAGGGGTCAGAGAATGAAGACGGTGCACTGAAGTTGCGTTGATGAGGAGGAATCAATGCAGTTGGGGGGAGAGCCTCTATCTCCCTAGGAAGAGGCGTCAGTTGAAGTTGCACATTGGAGGACCGGAGGGCCGCGCGCACCAAAATTCGTGCTTAGTCCTTGGGTGATGCAAACCATGGTGAAGGGCGAGCATCAAATTGGCAGGAGGCCCTTGCTTGCTCGGGATGTCGTGGAGGCGGCATGACAGAGAAGAGTCATGTCCTTGAGGAGTGGACATCCCCCTGGTCCGAGGCCTATCATTGGGCGAGTGCAGTGCAGGGAGCTGCACAAGAAAGCGATGGTGGAAAGGCGAGCATACTGCATGGAGGCAAACTTTGGAAGGGAGTGGACGCAGTAGTGAAGCGCCGCACTGCGATGAGGGCGTTGCAGGATTTGGGTGGGGGAGAGTGTCACGAAGTGATTCCTAAGACGCTTGGAGGATGGAAGACACGCATGCTGGTTGACAAAGAGCAGAGTTTGACTGGGAATGGTTCCAGGGAAGGGGCGTGCAGGAGCACAGGATGAAACCTCTTCAGAGTTCAGGCAGGTCGACTATGTTAAGTGCAAGAAGCTTGTCGCTGGTCGTGGACTTGACTATGAAGAATGGAGTTGGCCATCCCTGCAAAAACTAGTCGGGAGCTGGAGCCATTCCCCTGACGAGGCCAAGGCAGGTCGAAACCAGTCAGCATGTATCTTTGGAAGGGCAGGTCGTGGTGGCTGACTAGGGCGCTTGCGCGAGCTGAAGCAACGCCTTGGTGCCGCACGGGCCGTGCCGCTGTGCCAAATCTCTAGGCCCGTGACATATAGCTAGCTAAGGAAGATTTAAAAAAAGTTTTAGTGGTAAAAGAAGTAAAGACGAAGACTATAGCTACTTAGAAAGGAAGAATGTCTTGAAGTTACAAGAAAAACACACTAAGAACCACCTTCATCATCACTTGTCAGCCGAATAGAAGAGAAGTATGTGTGTCTGAGAAAACAGCAACAACTTGGGTTCGAAAAAAATCTCAAATCCATCCATATAGGCTTTATCTTTGATTTCTTCAAAAGCATCAGAAACCATGAACTTCTCAACACCGAATGACTTAGCCGATGTCTATTTGCTGCAAGCCCTTCCATATGGGATGTTAGGGCTCTAACTTTAGTCGACTCAGCCTTGCCCTAATGTCCTTCTCACTCTTGAGTGCAACAACTTAATGCGCATTAGCAACGCTCATCTTACCTTTATACTCAGCATGCAGAGAGGTCAGATTATCCTTGTAAATTTTCTCTCCCTTCACGGCTCAAGATGATAAGCTGAAAGACCAAGTGAGGCTTTGGGAAAAAAAAATATATGGGAGGTAAGTTTTGAAAAAAACATATATATATATATATATATATATATATATATATAGGTTCGAACCAAGTGGGCTCTACCCAAATAATAATAAATAAATAAATAAAATAATAATATATAGGCAATAATATTTATAAGTGGTATTTGTGTATGATATTTTCTCGGGAATGTATATATATATAGGTTCGAACCAAGTGGGCTCTACCCAAATAATAATAAATAAATAAATAAAATAATAATATATAGGCAATAATATTTATAAGTGGTATTTGTGTATGATATTTTCTCGGTTTACATTCCCGATCTAAGGCAAGCTGTAGTACGGGAATGAATTCTGAGGGGCAATTGAAAGACGGAAAAACTAGTCAAGCTCAACCAGAACTTGATAAGGTAGTTGGAATGCAATCAACAGTTACAAACTCAAAAAGAAGTTTCTACCATATATAGATAAAGTTAAATTGAAATTCAAACTTTTGACAAATTTCCTCGAAAGTAGCTACATGCCCACGCAGCAATAAAAACAGGACCTCGATCAACCAATCAGGTTGGAGAAAATTAATGATAAAACTCCTACTCTTATTTCAAAGCTCCAATAACTATTTGATTGTTAGAGAGTTCTTGACAACCAAGGCAACGGTGCTGGTCAATATTTCTCTCTATGTTGCAGGAAAATGATGTCGTTCTGAATCGTACAAAATCTTGTTCCAACACCAAAAATTACTTATTTTTTTCTTGTTGAAAGTTTCGGAAACTAACATTAACAATTATATGACTTATGTTACCGCCAACATATCCTTGGCCATGTCCCAATTTTAAAAATTAACCATTTTGCCCCTTGTTTGGGTTTTCTCCACCATTTTAGGGGTTTTCAATTCCAACTTTTTGAAAGTTTCAGCCAATAATCTAGTATATGCCCACTGTCACAAGAATCACAACTCATTACTTAATATATGTATATATACACATGCACATTACCTTGTCAGTGAAGTCATATTTGAACTCTCAAAGTTTTCAGTTTGAAAAATATGACTGCCATCACCCCGTCATGATACGGCTTCAGCCCAAACTCCAAAGAGATTCTCAAGAAAATGAAAGACAGTGTAACCTTTGGTCATTACTTAAAGTGACAATAATATCCTCAATTTTATGTTCTCTTTTGTTTCCAGCTGTTGAATTTTTGGTCAATTGCTGTTGGCAACGATTAGTTTTCAAATGGTCGTTAAGAATCTCCTTGGGGTAACATATCTTTTGAGCCCTACTTGGGCTCCCTAAACTATATTTTGTTGGCCTTTCTGGTTAGTGTTGGTTCCAATAAGCCTTGTTTTGCCTTTTGGGCATTCGTGTCCATAGGTCCCTTTTGCAATTTATACAATACATCAATATGAGTTGGGATTCTGTGCATATATTGCGTCCTATCATTGTTTTATTTTTATTTTTTTTATTAATTTTTTTTTTTTTTTAACCGTCGAAAAACTCACACACCCATTTCTTTCAAAGAATTCTTACTCAGATTGTGTGCCGCTGTGCTTTTCGTAATCGGTCTGATGCGTAGACGATCCCAACTTACATAAATATTCTTTATTTAAAAATAGAATGATTCAGTTGGGTTTACGATCTGATGCACGAATTAATTAATGTCACTATGACTGTTTCCCAGTTGACTTGAAATTAATTTAATTTGGGCTTTGTTTCCCAGTTGTCCTAAAATTAATTTAAATTAATTTGAGACGTTGGATCTGCTTGTTTTGAGCATTAACCAAGGGGACGCCCATACATATACTGACTGTCAGCTAATTGATGCATACCCTAACGTAGAAATTTTGTTTCAAAATTAATATCACCCATTTGCAGAGAGTACCAAAGCAATTTCGAATTACTTAATTCTAACATGGGCTAAAAATAAAAATAAAATACAAAAATCCAACATCTTTCCCATTATCTGCTTAGTTTTTAAAAATGCATACTCATTCACGTGCATGGCTTCCATAAACATGAACCCTAAACGTACGCTCAGTGAAGTGATTGAGCAAAAAAGAAAAGAAAATAAAATAATAGTACAGCTTCCACCATCCTAGCTTATGTTGCTCTATATAAAGCCCATCCTGTGCTTCCCTTTACTCGTACCAGAGCTAATATTATTGGTATAACCAAAAGTAAGCTCGATCTAGTTGTAATGGGGATTCAGAGTTATCTCCTCTTTGCCCTAGTTCTGGTCATTGCTAATGCAGTGGCAAGCAATGCAGCTTTTCCAAGGAGTTATGGAATGTCTTTGATCGACCGGAAAAGCGATCCTTTATCGCCTAGTTACAGAATAGATTCACTTAATCGTAGCAGTTTTCCGGATGGTTTCGTCTTTGGGGCAGCATCGTCTGCTTATCAGGTAGGATTGAATTTTACGAGTTACTCATAACATTCAAAATATTCGTATGTTACATTTAGGAGCAATGATTTAGTCTCTTGGAATTGATATTGGAGAAATTTTAGTTTAAAATTGTTTAAATTATATTTTCCCAATTTCAATTCTGAAGGCCCGATTTTGTGGTTACAAACATAGTTTAGTGTATATAAAACAAAGATATAATAATAATAATAATAATAATATATGTTTTTTTCCCTAATATATGTTTGTAACTGCTATCTTATATTTCTATTTTTATTTGTTTTCAGTATGAAGGTGCTGCATTTGAAGGTGGTAAAGGCCCAAGTATATGGGATTATTTCACACATACATATCCAGGTTTCTCTCTTGTAAAAACAGCAAAACTGGTCTCATTGTTAGACATTTTTGTTATATGATGTTTACAAATAAAATTATATTAAATTATATGCAAATATTCATCCATTCTATGGAGCTAACATTGAGAAGAAGGAAAAATTAAAGTGTTATGATACCGAGATGGAAAAAATGCCAAAACAATAATAATAAAATATATGCTAATATTTTTTATAAGTTATTAATGTACTTTTTCTCTAATTGCGTTTTTCTAAACCGTGAAAGATTTTATTTCATTAATTAAAATGATGCATTTCTCTTTTTTAATCATTCATCAAGGTAATAGTGATATATATATATATATATATCTTTCTCAAAGTGAAATCAATGTACTCAAATTTTTATTTGAGAAATGAAATTTTAGAAATTTGAAAAAAGGTTGAAGGAAGATTAATTTGTTAACAAATATTGTTCTTCATTACAAAAATCCTTTTCTTTCAGTTGCATTTTTATCAATTTTTTTGGATTATTATTTTCTCAATATATACACCAAGACTAATATTATAAAAAAATTACAGTACAATTGATTTATGAATTTTTCAAAAATTTAATTACAACGGCTTAGCTTTTGGGCCTTGTGTTCTGCTTTGTTGCTGGTTTTGTCTCTATTTATAATATTTTCATTCAACGAAAATATATGTAATGACAAAAATAAAAATGACATATGTTATATATCCGGTTTTTTCATTGTGGACTGTAGAGAAGATAAGTGATCGTAGTAATGGAGATGTGGCCGTAGATTCTTACCATCGATACAAGGTACATGTGCTATTGCAAGTCAAAATATTTTGTGGCCTTTTTGATTTTTCTCTCTGAGTAGTCCTGTATATATATATATTACTCATACAAAATACAAATAAAATTAATTTTTATGATAATCTCTTATTATTATTATTTTTTTTGGGGTAAGTAATTTTCATGATAATCTTTCAATCACGTAACAGGAAGATGTGGCCTTCATCAAGGGAATGGGTCTAGATGCCTATCGATTCTCAATCGCATGGTCCAGAGTGTTACCACGTAAGATGATCACTTAATTTTTTAATTTAAAAAATGTTTAGAGGTTCTCAAAAATTAAAAAGTAAAATAAAATCTTGTTTTGGGAACCTATAAACAAATTTCTTATCGCTTAACTTTAATGGTATAATTTCTGCCTCCTTAAAAGGTATGTCAACCATTGAAATTAAGTGAGGACATACAGGAGATTATCGCAACCCTCATCCCCTTGTGGAGCTCACCATGATGGATGACGGGCCTGATGATATCTCACAACCTCTTGTGAGTGAGAAATTATTATTTGGTCCGGAACTACATAATCCCGGTCAATTACAATTCAACACGTAAGTAAATTTTTACTTGTATGTCCAATTGTTATTGGTCAGAATCATGTAATCTCGAACCATTTAATAATTTCTCCTTGTAAGTGTTGTGACGGTCATCTGTCGCAACGACAATCGCAACAAATAGCAAGGCTCTAAGTATATTTATTGAGAACAAAAAAGATAAATTGAATTTTCTAGAAATTAGTGTGCTATCAATTGTCCCAAATTTGAGATTTTCTATTGACTTTCCTTGTTTGCAGTTGGGAATCTAAGTGGAGGTGTGAATCAGGAAGGAGTAAATTACTACAATAACCTCATAGACGAGCTGAAAAAGAAGAGTAAAGATTGACGCTCTCTTAGTACCAGTAATTTTGTGTGTGTATAATTGTTCATCTAAAGTAGTGCATTTTGTCAAACTTGTGTAGACCTTGAGCCTTACGCGACTCTCTTCCATTGGGATCTTCCTCAATCCTTAGAGGAGCTGTATGGTGGTTTCTTGAGTCCTCGAGTTGTGTAAGTCACTTGATTTTAATCTTAGTATTTTATATACTTGATTAATTCAATAGTTAGTGCACTTTTACGCAACAGTAATGAATTTAATTTTCCCCCATTTTGAGAGAGAGAGAGATGGTAATAACATCACACATTAAGATGTCGACTCAAATGCTAGGACTAAGCACCACATATTAACAATTGTTGATATTCAGATCCATCTGTATATATGATACTCCAAGATATTATCAAGCAAGAGTTTTTATGGTATAAATTAAACTAATGACAGGGCCGATTTTCGTGACTTTGCGGAACTTTGCTTCAAGAAATTTGGCGATCGAGTGAAAAACTGGATAACATTGAATGAGCCATGGAGCTTTAGCAATACAGGGTATGCAACCGGTGACCTTGCTCCCGGTCGATGCTCTTCTTGGCTACAAAATAACTGCACAGGTGGAGACTCAGGCACTGAACCATATATTGTGACACACAATCAACTTCTGGCTCATGCTGCTGCTGTAAAATTATACAAAGAAAAGTATCAGGTGACACTTTTTTTTTTTTTGGATAAACGGGGCGTCGGAACTTTGTCCAACTAATCAATTAAATCAAAATTACAACATGAATGTAACTTTGTTTAATTGAACGATATTTTTGAACCAGATAGTGATTGTGATATTTTGAAATTGAAATCCCTGGTTCATGCTTTTTTTCTTGTTTACAATGGCATATTTATCGATATAATAATACTAATAATAATATTATTATTATGAGCATGCAGAAGAAACAAAAGGGAAAGATTGGGATTACTCTTGTTTCAACCTGGATGGTGCCTTACTCTAATTCGCCTGTCGACCGTCGTGCTTCGATACGAGCCCTAGATTTCATGCTTGGATGGTGAGTATTGTATGCTACATGATTGAAGAAATTAATTGTAATTTCTGACATTTTAAAGAACTCTTAATTATGGGTTCAATGAATGTCCAGCTTAACTTAAATAGGTCATGTAATTCATTTATTAAAGTATGAAATGCAAAAATAATGAAAAAATTGAGATAGTGGATGACTAAAAATGAGAATAATTGGACAATACAATTATAAAAAAATCCTTTAACTAAAAAAAGAATTCTAAAAAATGGCCAAATACAATATCCTTGGATTTATATAGAAATGATAGAATTGTCCATTATATTTGGGTTAAAACAGGTTAGAGGTTAACGATTGATTCAATAGGTCTAATCGGGTTAAATGGTTTGATTTCTAAAAACACAACATGATTAATTAAATGGGCTAAATGGATTGATACAATTATGACACGGATACGATTAAGGTTAATGAAAACTCACAAAATTCGTGTCGTGTTAGCGGATCGTGTCGAATTTTGCCACTCCTTTAATAATGTCGTACTTTTGTTGTATGAAATATTTCTTTAGTACTTGAATCATATCCTTTTATTGTACACATGGTTGTAAACAAACCGAACTGAGCTTAGCTTTAGGGTGTTCGGGCTTGACTCATTTGTTTATAGGCTCGACTTGGAATTGTGACGAGCTTAAAAAGCTAAGTTCAGACTCGTCATGGTTTAAAAAATCTTGAGTTTGGCTCATTTAAAGAAAACAAATTAAACTCATGTTAAAATTAATTCAAGCTCATTTTCAAACTCATCAGGCTCGTTTAATAAATCGTTATATATAATTTTTTTTAACACTTCCCAAGTATTAAAAAGTTCCAATAAAAATTTTAAAACAAAAATAAACGAGTAATTTTATAGACATATATAATTGTACATAACGTATGAACAAATCTTTCAAGCCTCCTTTATTACTTTTTGTTAGAATTAGTGTATTCGTAACGAGTACTAGCCGAACCTTTTCATAAACAACTCGATTTATTTATAACCCTAATCATTATATAGATCTTTATTATTAGCGTATTACTATTTTTGTAACAATTACACAGCCATCGATCTAAGATTTTTTTATTTATTTGAAAAGTAACATCCATCTAAGATTGTTTCTTTTTAATTTTACATAGTTCTAAATAAACTCATTTCATTATATACACACAAACACATAAACTTTCTAACTTCCACTTGTATTCTAGGTTTATGGACCCATTGGTAAATGGTAATTATCCTCTCACCATGCGAGCTCTGGTTGGAAAACGGCTGCCAAAGTTCTCTAAAGAAGAATCGAAGATGGTAAAAGGTTCATATGATTTTATTGGCATAAACTACTATACCTCTTTTTATGCAGCCCATGAATCCAACTCCAGTGTTGCAAACCCCAGTTACACAACAGATTCCCGAGTTAATCTTACAAGTAAGTTCACCCCAAACTCATCACTTTCTCTTTTAGTTGGATTCAAAGTTCTACTGTTAAAAAAAAAAATTCTACTGTATATATCTTCCTTTGTACTAAAGATCATGATATTAAATTGTTTATTGTAGCTGAGAGGAATGGGGTTCTTATTGGTGTACAGGTATAGTGTGTAAATAAACCTGATATAATACATTTTATTTTAATATTAATAATGTACATAAAATTGTTATGTTTATAATTTATTCTTAAATTATGTTACAGGCTGGTTCAGATTGGCTTCATGTTTATCCTAAAGGGATTTGGGATCTTCTAGTCTACATAAAAATCAAATACAACAATCCTATTCTTCATATTACAGAAAATGGTAACTAATCTACTACCCTCCACACACACACATACTGTTCCTTAGTCAAGCAAGGCCAATCTAAAAAGAAGGTATTTATACCATTTTGATCGACATTATATAACCCTTATTTTTTTATTTTGTAGGGGTTGATGAGGTTAATAATGCGACACTGCCACTCAAGAAAGCCCTCATTGACAATTTTAGGATAAAGTACTACTATCAACATCTTGCTTTTGTTCTAAAAGCAATCAAGTAAGAATGACTATATATTATATGATTTTTTTTATAACGATTTTAAAATTTACGATAGTGAATTGCAAAATTATAAGAATGACTATATATATATATATATATATGATTTTTATTTTACTCTTTTCCTTTTTATCTATAGGAATGGCGTCAATCTAAAGGGCTACTTTGCATGGTCATTATTGGACAATTTTGAATGGAATGCCGGTTATACTGTTCGTTTTGGCATCAACTACGTAGACTTTAATGATGGATTAAAAAGATATCCAAAACTCTCATCCAAATGGTTCAAGAACTTTCTAAAAAAATAGAGAGAAAATAGACAACTCTCCAATAATGTTGAACTTTACGTATCCTGTATCAATAAGCAGAAGATGGTTTTTGATCTCCTGCATAGTTATTAAGGATGTTGATGTTTTTTTCTTTAGTTGAATAAGGATGTTGATGTTGTTTATGTTGGAATGCTATGTACGAATTTTTAATTTGGCATGGATATCAAACTTTGTTATTTGAGTATCTGATCATTTTTCAACCATCCCGTCTTTGATCTAGTAAAAATTATAGCACACTCAATTTCTATTGGGTTAAAAAGATACCCAAAACTCTCATCCAAATGGTTCAAGAACTTTCTAAAAGCATAGAGAGAAACTTTTGTTGTCTCCAATAATGTTGAACTGTATCCTGTATCAACAAGCAGAAGATAATTATCTTCTCCATAGTTCTTAAGGATGTTGATGTTGTTTATGATGGAATGCTGTGTACGACCTTTTAAATTTGGCATACATGTTAAATCTTCTTATTTGAGTATCTGATCAACAAAGACATCCCATTCCTCCTATGGCCACATCTGTTATGGTCCAATCCCACATTACCAAAACACGCCTTTACCCTTTGGATAGCCATCCAACAAAGATTCCCCATACTCGACAGAAGATGCACAGCACACATTAATTCAACAATATGCCCCCTCTGCAACTGTGAACCAGAGTCCCATAACCACTTATTTTTTAAATGTGATTTTGTCAAACCCTTGTGGACATTCCTTCAAGCACGTTGTGGATTGCATATCCTCCCATCTTCTTGGTCCAACTTTGTTCACTGGGCTGCGCACCACTGGAGAGGCTCAACCGGAATCACAAGCAACTCAATCTCCAAGCTATGTTTGGCGTCACTGGTCTACAACATTTGGATGGAGAAGAATAGGCGAATTTTCAAAAAGAAATCTCTTTCAGCCAATTCAATCCTTCATCTCACATATCTGTTCGAGAGAAGATTCTGGTTTCATTTATCAAGGATGCTCGTAATTGCAGAAGAACAACAATTGAATGGGAGGTTCATGAATCATGTGTGCATCCACCAGCTAAGCCTCCTGATCAATCTAGGCGAACCTCAAGGAGATGAGGTAAGGCTCAAAGCCATGATTACCGGATTGTTGGCTGTCATGGGCCATTTTAGAACTGCTTTCTATTTTGGGAATTTTGTGCCTTTGTTCGATGAAGGCAAGGAAAATGTAATTGTTGGGTTGGGCTTTGGGCCTTATTCTTGAAGTTAGCCTGGGCTAACTGCGCTTTTTGGCCCTGTTTTGTGATCCATTTCTCTATTTATAATATTTACTTCACTTTTCAAAAAATAAATAAATAAATAAATAAATAAAAATAAAAATAAAGTTTTGGTGTATTTGGTTGTCAATCGACCATCACCACCCTTTTCACTCCTTACTTCTCTATCTCCTGCTCTCTTTCATCCCTTGGTGGGAGAATTGTACGATTGCTATGACGAAACCCTCACTCACTAATACACCACCAATTAAAATCAAGACCACACCCCACCAAAACCCTTGATTGCCACCATTACAACCCACATCTATCGAAAGTACGTCGGAACCCTAATTCGTCACCTGTTGTACCTGTCCTACTCACACCTCGCTACCATTGACAAACATCTGCAATCACCGATATCAGCAAACAAGGTGTTGCACTCCCAGAGCCCTCCACTGCAAAACCCTGCGGGTTGAGACCAACGACAAGCTCCTGGAAAACATATACAAAACTCTCCTCCTCCCTCTACAAATTAATATTGTATATTACATAATTTCTTAATGTTTTCTCTTACTGATTACATATATTATATCATAACATCATTTTGGTTTAAACTTATCTCGACATCTCATTACTTACTGGACTTTGTGCATATTGCTTATCTTGTTGCACACTGTTCACTCAATCCCTGTGGACGGTGTAGACATAACACATAGGTGCAATTTGTGAGATATATATTTGTAATTGGCAACTTTTGGTGTAAAAAACGTGTCTGATCGAACTATAATCTTTGATTTATTTCAAAACTTTATGTCGGAAGCAGAACTACTTGAGCAAGTATTTCAGTTTGAGGAGAATATCATTTAGTAAACGTATGTGTGTGAGAGAATACACAATGCACTTTATGTTTAAATCGGATTAGTTTTCAATCAATGTTTTTGAATTCAAAATTGCAAATTGCCAAAGTCCAATCGGTCCTACTATTTTCCACCGATCACACTCTGTCAACCTGACTAGTAGGCAACATGCAAAACATACCTAAAGTGGGCATGAGTACCTAGACCTAACAGGGTACACCTCTACCATCATAGCCAGCTATGCATCCCAATGCATATTCGCTCCCTAACCATCGATCCTGAGACTCAAGCTTATATCGTGGTACTATAAATATATATTTAAAGTTCATCCACATCCAAAGTAGTGCCGCTCAACTATTTGCTGCCTTGACACAAAATATAAGTAGGATTTAAATATTAATTCATTCCCTTATTCCAGAGTAGGTAGGACTTAGTAGTTTGAACTAATCCGTCCCTACTGTGCCACCGTCCCATACCGGTGCACACAATCCACAACATCCATGTAATTGACAGAACAGAATTTAATAGTTCATTAATTAATATCCAAAATATTAATCCATGTAATTGTAGAACAAAATTTAATAGTTCATCAATTAAAATCCAGAATATTAATCCATGTAATTGACATAACAGAATTTAATAGTTCATCAATTAAAATCCAAAATATTGATCCACAAAACAAATCCAATAATTGACAAAACAGAATAAGCAGTTCATCAATTAAAATCCAGAGAACGATATAATGATAATCAGAAATATAAAGTGAGCACATTATACTGAAATACTCAAATGTAAATTTCACAATAATCCATAAATCCAATAATTGATGAAGTATATAAATAGACAAAACATCAACTAATCCAATATAAGCATACTACATTTTCAGATAGTCAACTATACTTATTACAGTGCTAAAATATGATTAACATTATTTAACCTTATAAAGAAAAATTGCTAGAATACTAGTAAGCAATTAAATCCTTGATTTCGTAATCAACATGCAAGTTTACTGTTAAAATTCATGTTGTTATATTCTTTAGCATATTGTTATAAATCATACTTCCGAGTATTTTTATATGTCCATTACAGTTATTTAAATCATTCATAGCATCTTAAACAACTTAAAAATACTCCAAACAGCCAAATAGAACTTTAAAATAAATAAATAAATAAATAAATAAAATAAAATAAAATTTTGCAAGTTTCAGCGCGAGAGCAAGCTCCCAAACTTCGAGAGCAAGCTCTGCTGTCTTGGGAGCCGGCTCCCTCCATTAGAGAGCTGGCTCTCTCTCCCTGAGAGTCGTAAACTGATTCCTGATCATCCTTTTCGCCTCCGGTGATGTCCAGAACCCTTTGTAACAATTTATTAAGGTTCTTAGGATCTAATCCATGTCCGAAATTTATCTAAAAATACATATAAGTACAGTATGCATCAACATAACAATTAACAATTACAACATATAAAACCATTAATACGATAAATCAGTTTCAGGTAACAACACGCAATGTAGTTTAATCATTGAATTAACATGCATACAAGACTAACTTTAACGTCTGATTAAGTCTTGGAGATTCTCTAGACATGCACAGAACACAAGTCAAAGGGAAGGAGTAAGAAATAGAACTTGCCTCTTAAGGTTTCGATTTGAAACATTTAACTGTCCTCTGCCTATACTTTCCGGTGACATTTGATTGTCGTCAAGCCTCCTACTACTCTAGTTCTAATCCACAAGTAGACCCTCGTCCTTCCTCCTTGGCCGGCCTTTCAACCCTTTGCCAAACCTTAGCTTCCTCTCTCAATTTTTCTCTCAAACTCTCTGTCTTTAAAAAGTGGCGTGAATAGTGTTTCTTCCAACCCTTGACAGACAAACCTAATATGTATATATAGGCTTATACAAACCCTAATCCCAACCCAATAATAAGTTGGCTAATCATAAAAGAAGAGAAGAGAAACTTAAAATATAATTACATATATATTTAAGGTCCTATATGTGATAACCAAATATACATAAAATTTATAAGTACATATATAACCTATTAACATTAACATAAACAATTAATAATAATAATACTCAAAAAATCAAACAATTAATATTAAATAATTAAATAATTAACAATTAGCCAAATAATCAAACAATCAATTCAATTAAACACATACCATCAAGCTACATAACCACATAGCCACATAATCCATTAAAATGCACAAGAAATAAAAATTAAATTTCAATTATATCCTTTTGAAAATTAGGGATATTACATTTTTCCCCCCTAACAAAAGGAATTCCATCCTCAGAATTCACGAAATTTTGAATTCTTTTCATTTTCGTTCCATTGTGGACACTACCTTTGTGTATGGGCTCCATCGAATCCCAACTACTCCTAGAAACTTAATGGTTCTTATATTTAAGAAACACAAAAAATATACGACACGTAGGTTGTAGGTAACAACAACTCATCCTTATCCAATATTTATACCTGGTTACAAATCCATATGCCTCCAGATTCGATAACATATATTCGCAAAACTTCTATGCACCCAATGCTAATGTTTTGGTAACGCTAAATTATAAGCTACCGGCTCAATTGATAAACACAATCCGTGAAAAGGTAATTTAATACATAAAAACTGACCTTCCTCGAAAACGCACATTGCTTCCTATATGGAAGGCATCCCAAAAAACCGTTTTCGAATAAAAAACTCTAGTGGACGAGTTCAACTATTTACAAAATTGTACTGTCGTCGCCCAACCGCATGCAATCCATTACAAATGAGAGTATTTCTCTCCGACGTATCCTTAAATGAAGTCAAGGTTTGATTGTACAACCCTTACTTTTATTTAAAACCAACAAATGAGATGTCTGCATTATACGATAAAAAACCTCAATTGTTGTCACAACAACCTCCTTGTGCCAACT